GAATAGAATAGAATAGAATAGAATAGAATAGAATAGAATAGAATAGAATCAGGAAAGTATAGAATAGAATAGAATAGAATAGAATAGAATCAGAATCAGAATCAGAATAGAATAGAATAGAATAGAATAGAATAGAATAGAATAAGGAAAGAATAGAGTAGAGTAGAGTAGAGTAGGAGTAGAGTAGAGTAGAGTAGAAGAGAGAATTCTGTACACTGCACCACTCGACTTCAGTCACTAAACGAATGGTTGTTATTCAGGACTAGCCGTATCCTCTCTCTAAGCATCTAACCAGCACAAAGACTCCTCGTTTCTACTCTGAGTCCAGCCAGCAACTAGGTCAGACATCAAGAAAATGTTCAACCCTTCTTGCCTTCGGCCTCAGCCAAGAGAGAAGGAAATGAAACTTGCTTTAAGCGTCAGTAAATCAGGAGTGGAAGCAAGCCAATTAAATATGTTAAGAGTCGAGACAGTCAACAGCCCTGCAGGGAGACAGATATTCCTTTCGGTGAGGCCAAACACCGCCGAGGTCACAAGGTTTTAGTTTTTTTCCCACCACGGGCGTCAGCATCACACAGCACACAGCAAAAAGGATTGTTCAAAAAAGAAAAGAAAAATGTGGTTAATGTGGTTACCTAACCTGACATCTCCAAATGGGGTAAATTAAAAAACGCCCCCATGCGTGGAAGGGAGAGAGGAAAAACAGCTCAGCCCAGAGCCCAGTGGTGCAGCCGAAAAATGGCAGGAAAATAATAGGAGAAGGAAAGGAGGCTTCCAAGGTTGGGATGCTACTGTACCGTGGAACGCTTGCGGGGGAAAAGTCGGCCATGCGGCATTTGCCCAGATCAAATCAACAACCGACCAACCAACGAGCCAGTGTGACATTTCAGGCTTTTAAAAGCCACGTTTGTGCTCAATTGGAGGGATGGAAGAGAATATTTGGAGCTCGGGGTTGAACTGTGGGGTCCTTGGTGCTCTCTGAGCTGGGTTGGTTTCTTGCGGAATGTTTCGTGACCCAACTAGGGAACATCATCAGTGCTAGAAGGGAATGGAGGGAGGAGGAGGAGGAGGAGGAAGAGGGTGGGGTCTTTGGTGCTCTCTGAGCTTGGTTGTTTTCCTGCAGACCTTTCATTACTCAACTAGGGAACGTCATCCGTGCTGGGAGGGAGTAGGGTTTGTGGAGAGGAGGAGGAGGAGGAGGAGGAGGAGGGCTGTGGGGTCCTTGGTGCTTTCTGAGCTGGGTTGGTATTTTTGGAGACGTTTCATGACCCAACTAGGGAACATCATCAGTGCTAGAAGGGAGTGGGATTGAGGAGGAGGAGGATTGTGGAGTCCAGATACTCTCTGAGAATGGTGATTTCCTTGCAGACCTTTCATTACCCAGCCAGGTAACGTCATCAGTGCTAAAAGGATTTGTGGAGCGGAAGTGGAAGAGGAGATGACTGTGGGGTCCTTGGTGCTCTCTGAGCTTGGCTGTTTTCTCGCAGACGTCTCATGACCCAACTAGGTAGCATCATCAGTGCGAGGACCCGCAAAGTTCAACCCTGAGCTACGAACATTCTCTTCTACAGGTAGTTAAACGCAGAAGGAACCAGGGAGGCTCCGAAGTGGTACCTTATACGCGGTTGTATCAGAGGAAGAAGTCTCGATTTCAATCCGGTGTCTGTCGCTGAGACCTTCCAAGTCTGGCTTAGCTCCACCTGAGTTACGTACGGATGAAGGACAGAGAAGGGCTTACTTCGCACTCTACTCTTCAGCCTTTCCATCCACCCTCTTTTAACAAAATAATAATAATTTAGGAAGTGACCCAGAAGAGCATTTAAAGGCAGTTCTCGATGTATAGCCATTCATTGAGGGAGCATTTGAAGGTACACTGAAAAAAGCCACTTTATGACCGTTTTCCACAGGGCCATTGCAGCCTCCCTGCGGTCACGGGATCAAAATTCAGAGGCTTGACAACTGGCATGTACTTATGACGGTTGCAGTGTCAATAGGCAGGGGAATCATGTGATCCTTCTGCCAAGCCAAGTCAACGGGGAAGCCAGATTCACCTAACAACCGTGTTACTAAAGGAACAACCACAGTGGTTCACATAACAACGGTGGCAAGAGAAGGCCGTAAAACAGGGCAGAACTCACTTCACCACCAGCAAATTTTGGGGGCTCGGTAAGCCGAGAACTCCCTGCGCAGCTCAAGGTACCTCCCGGTCCTCTCTCACTCACCTGCAGCATCGGTGTATCCAAAAGGGGTGTTCAAGGAGACGCTTCTCCGGAGCAGCGGCTCTAGGCCAGGAGGTTTCCCAGAATCTACAATTGGGAAGGTCTCCGTTGAGTTTCCCAGCGAAGGAATCGGCTGGCCAAGGTCCCTCACCCGCTTGTAAGACATTGCTCGGGAGGGCCAAGGCATATTGGGGTGGGGGAGAGAGAGGGAGGGAGGGAGGCAGGGAGGGAAAGAAAGAAAAGAAGGAAGGAAGGAAGGAAGGAAGGAAGGCAGGCAGGAAGCAAGGGGGAAGGGAGGGTGTGAGGGAGAGAGAAATTCATCTCTGCCAAAACTCTTTCTGTCCCCAGCCATGAACTTCACCCAGTCCGAAGACTCTGCCCAGGTGGGTTGGCCCCCCTCCTTGTGCCAAACAGAAGCCCGAGGAACCTCCGGGCAGGTGTGGCCTCTCCAGAGTGGCCCCGTGGGAGGGCAAAGCATCACCTGTGGTCTCCAGGGAGGCGTGTCTCTCCAGCCTTTCGGCCCGCTCCTCCTCCGACAGGTTGGACAGCTGCCGTCTCACCACCCGCCCGGCGTTGCCCCCGGAGGTGACGCTGGCAATCGAGACCAGCGGGATGGCCTGGCTCTCCTGGGAGGGCGGAAGAGGCACGGCAAGGATTTGGGTCAGGGAGCCAGAGAGCCCAAAGCTGCTCTCAGCGCCCCACAACTAGCCGAACTTCTAATCTAACCCCCCCAAGGTGTGTTCAGACCTGAGCCAACATACACTAAGACAAGAGCAGGAATCTTCCTTCCTTCCTTTCTTCTTCTCTTTCTTTCTCTCTTCCTTCCTTCCTTCTTTCCTCCTCCTTTCTTTCCTTCCTTTTCTTTCTCTTCCTTCTTTCTTTCCCTCCTTTCTCTTCCTTCCTTTCTTACTCTTCCTTCTTTCATTTCCTTCCTCTCTTCCTTCCACTTCCTTCCTTTTCTTTTCCTTCCTTCCTTCTTTCTTTCCTTCCTTTCTCTTCCTTCCTTCCTTTTCTTTCCTTCCTTCCTTTCCATCTACCTATATCTAACATCCATCCTATCTATCTATCTATCTATCTATCTATCTATCTATCTATCTATCTATCTATCTATCTATCTATCTATCTATCTATCTATCCAATGTATCTATCGTCATCCCGCTCCCATTCCCTCCAACTATTCTACCTAATCTAACTATCCACTCAACGTATCTATCTATTCATCGTTCATCCATCGCTTCTCTCTCTTTCTCTCTCTCTCTCCCTCCCTCCCTCCCACATTAAATTTACTGGCCACAGAGACCTACCTGGAAGGGCCTTAGAAGCCATCAAACTCAGGCCATCCATTTCCTCAGCCCTTTTAGGCCAGCGTCCCCTTGGGGGGAGGGCAGGATGGGCTAGAAGACCTCCGAGGTCCCTTCCAGCCCTGTGATTCCAGGTGCCCCAAAGGCAGCAGTTTCACTTACGGAACTGAAGAGTTCGGTGGTCAGTCCCAGGTAGTTGTGCAAAGCCAGGAAAGTGACCCTCTGCAGCCTCACCATGATGATCTAGAGAGGGAGGGGGGGAGGGAGGGAGAGGGAGGGAGGGACGGTTTTAGTTTCATCGCTCTTGTTTCTTTTGGGAGAAGCACTGTATGAGTTCAGGACTGTGTGACTGAAGCACCACTCAGAAGCAACATTTTGTTCTTGGTGGGGGCCCCGTGGAGGTTTGTCTGTGTCCTTGGGGGGGTCACCTGTGTAGTGCAAATGGTGTGTGTGGAGCCTTCTACAAACACACTCCTTTCCGCAGTTCCAAGAAGGCTCCACACTCATTTCTACTGTTCAGGACCCTCAGGACACAGATAAACCTCCAGGTGGCCTCAAGGACCCTCTAAAAGGATGCAAATGACTAGTTTTCTGCAAGGAAGGTAAATCCTGCCATCGCCCACCATCCAGTCAAGAGTTGAAGAAGCTTCTCGGATGAGAAGCGAAACGTCTTCAAAGAAAGAACAGGAAGTCCTCTTGGAAAAACAAAAACAAAGCACCTTTGGGAACAATCCTGACCCGATGGACGACTGAGAATCTCCCTAGACTCTGGTATAAACGTGCTCCAGAGGAGAATCAGCCCAGCCTCACCTGCACGACTCTGACGAGAGTCTCGGGGTATTTCTGGAAGATGTCCTGAAATGCGTTGGCTGGGAGGCGCAGAATGGTTGACTGCATCGCGGCCCGAGCAGAAACGGTTTTGTACGGAGCAGGATGACCCTGGGGGGGTGGAGGGGGAGAAGAGGCTCGGCTGTCAGGATTCCGGCAGTCACCCCAATGAAATCATGAATCTTGAGCCAAACTTCCAAAACTTCATCATTCATTGCCACCCTTGACCCTGGTTTCCCCCCCCCTTGCATCCCCTGGGTGTATCCATAATTCCTATTCTCCAATGGGACACGTCCATAGCCCAGAGTCATCAATCATGCTCTCCAGTTAAAATTGCGTGGCACAAACTTCAGTCGCCTAGTTGCTATCTCTGAAAAACGATGAAAAATTGTCAACGTTTTGATGGACGAACCCAACCCAAAGCAAGCGCGGTTGAGACGTTCCAATCCCTGAACGCATGACGTTATTGAGGACATGCTTTCAGCACTGATGAGGACAAAGCCCAGATCTAGCTAATTCCCGCGCAAACCGACGTAATTGAAATATAGGATTCTCCCTCCCCCTCTTAGAGCCGGTCACATTGCCAAGGGGAGTCTCTTTATATTTGTTATGAGAAAAACCCATTGGCTTTGGCAAACATCTGCCAAAGTGTCCTTGGCTCTCACGGCTTGTCTTCCGGATGCCTGGAGCTCACCTTCCCTCCCTCCTCCTTCGTTGGCGAGCTGAGAAGCGACAATGGTTGCAACAGCAAAAGCGCGGTTCTAATGTTACGGGAGTACTACTCATTCGACAACTGGCTTGCTTAACTACAAGCAATGGGGACGCCGGATTCAATTAAGAGCTGTGTTTCTAACTTTAAAACTTCAGTGATTCATTTAACAATAGTGGCAAGAAAAGGTCATTAAAGGGCGTGTGACTAACTGGACTTGTTTAACCATGGAAATGTCAATCTTGGATTACGGTTGTAGGTCAAGGAGTGCCTTACAGCCACCGCTCAAATTCCAGGCACCTGGCTTTCCGGCCAAAAGACAGATTTATTTCTACAACCCGCTCAAATGAATAGGTTTTCTGCCAATGGGAGAAGAGAGATGACCAGAGACGGAAGGAATTCATGGGAAAATCCCCCAATGCAGGCGGGTAATTTGGGAAATTTTAAAAGCACAGGCTGAAGCTTTGGGTCTCAGGGGGGAAACGGGAGAGGAAAACATAATGAGACCATTGTCACTGCTTGCGGAGAAAGTTTGCCTGTGTTATTTATGGCAGAGATTTTTCCATAATTGAACACTGAAGGTGACCAAGAAGTGTTTTTTAATCCTGCAGAGAGAAGGCTATTGTCTTTATCCTTGAGCTGTCATCTCTCCTGCCCAGGAGAAATGATTCCTTATTGTATTATGGCTGGGCTGATGCATCGTGCTAATCACAGCTTATGGGATCAAATGTATTCAATTTATTACAATGGGCTGGCTTTCCTCATTAGGCAAAGCTCTAAACATGATGGACAGGCTACAATAGTTTGCACGGCGTGTCCAAAATAGAACAAACCACACAATAGCTGGCTTGGTATAGTGGTTAAAGCCCCAGGCTAGAAAAGGGGATGACGGTTAGTTCCAGTCCTGCCTTAGCCATTGAAGTGGGTGACTTTGGGGCCAATCACCAGGAGACTGGGAGTTCCAGTCCTGCCTTAGGCATAAAAGCCAGCTGGGTGACTTTGGGCCAATCACCAGGAGACGGGGAGTTCTAGTTCTGCCTTAGGCGTGAAAGGCTGGGTGACATTGGGCCAAGATAAAAATTACGCTTGCAGATCGCTCCCTGGATTGGAACATTTAAGCTCCACCACCGCAGATTTTGCATGGTTGAGTTGTGACTATTTTCTGTTCTTTCCTTTTGCACATCCCAGTCCAAAAAAGTTGCTCCCCCCCCTCCCGTATATTTGTTCTTCCCAGCCTGGGGGAAAAAAAAAAACACAAATCACCCACTGTTTTCTGGGCAGCCTAATTGCTCGATCCCCAACCGGCTGATCCATTCTTAATTACAGGAGATAAAAAGATAATTGAGGAAGCGTTGGCTGGACATGAGCTGGCAAAGTCTCGAACACAAGTCCTGGCAGGGAAAGAAAAGAGCTCTGGTGGGTGGGATTTTTCTTGAAGATTCTGGAAGGCTTTTGGATTCAGACCCGCTGGGTTGCTGGAGTAATCAGGTTTTGGGAACATTTCCTGATGGAGAGAGCTAAAAATGGCCGTATGTGAACAGCCAGGAGAAGTGTACGGTGAAGAATAAAGTTATACTTTAACGTATTCCTTGACTTACGCCCTCAATTGAACCCGAAATTTATGTCGCTAAGCGAGACAGTTGTTGAGCGAGCGCTGCCCCGTTTTACGACTTTCCTTGGCCACGTCGTTCAACGAACCAAGCGCAGTTCTGCTAGCAACCCAGTTGTTAAGTGGATCCGGCTTTCCGTTGACTTTGCTCGTCAGGAAGGTTCGCGGAAGGCGATTGCTGCGACCGTCATAAATGCGAGCCGGTTGCCAGCAAGCGCCTGAATTTGAATCACGTCTCCACGGGGGACGCCGCAATGGTCGTTAAGTGTGAAAAAAAAATGGTCACCAATCCCCCCTTTTTTTTCTCCCCGATGCCATCGTGACTTTGAACAGGCTGCTAAACAAACTGTTGTAAGTCAAGGACAACCTGTGGTGCCTCAATATGTTTTGTGTCTTTTTCTCCTCCAGAAACCGAAGCGACACTTGAACTCAGGATCAATAGCCCTCGAAGGGAGCTTTGAGGCTCTCATTTTTTTGCCAAGGCAAAAGCTAGGAACCGAATAGGCTGCATCGACCCTCCGATTAAGCCAGACTCTCTGACCGGACCCCTTCCCCGTCAATCCTTCCGGAAGCCCTGCCCACTTATTCAAACCAGAGGGATGGAGCGCCACTTGGAAAGCCAAATGGGCTGCGGGCCTCACCGTGATGACGTCCAGAATGCTGAGAAGGCTATGTACGCTGTCCCCGGCCAAAACTTCCTTCACCACCATCTCTGTGCCATCCTGGGGAAAAGTTGAACGAAGAAAAGTGTCACGGTAATGAATATTTAACAGCTGGCCAGCTGCTGTAAGAAGAGGCGGGACCCAACGGGCGTAACAACTGGTTCATGTGCATGTAGTCTACTGGCTCCGGCAAGCATTTACCTTCTCCAGCTGATGAGCGGCACTTTAGCTGTGCCGCGGAAAGCAGCTCAGGAGGAAAACGCAGCCACTAAAGGGCAGCCTGGTGTCCGGGCAGACCAAAACCTCATCCCAGCGAACCAGTTCAGTGTCAGCTGCTCTTCGGAGCTACCAGTTCTATAGGACAGGACCGAACTGGTAGGCTCCCACCCCTGGCTGTAAGGCTGCTGTAAATGCTGAGGCAATGAGCTATGAGGTTGAGTCAGCAAGGATATTGCCACTTTAAGACTGAGGTGGGGCCCACAGAGTTGTGGCCTCTTTAAGAAGCTGTCTATATATAGGCGGCCATGAGAGGGCGTTTTTCTCTTCTCCTTGTGTTCTGTCTCCATTGTGGTTCTCCGTGCAGAGTAAAGAAGATTGATTGCCTGCCAGGTATTTGCCTACCGCATCTATGTATGTATATAAGTTGCCTTGTATATAAGCCACTGTGTCCTGCATTTTGCTCCTGGGTTGCCTCACAATAGTAGTCAGGCTGCAAACACTCTGACAAAAACAGGTCTGCAAGGAAACAACTGAGTTCAGAGAGCACCAGGGGCCCCTCCATTTCAACCCTGAGCTCCCGACCTTCCCTTCTAAGCGCCTGTTCTTCTTAATCTCCCCAAAGAACAATTATTATCCTTACGCTATCCTGGATGCAGACTTCCAACTTCCCGTCCTGCACGACGTAGATGCTGTTGTCCAGCTGCCCCGGCCGGAAGATATATTCCCCTTCGTGAAGCTGCACGAAAACCATGTGCTTGCACAGCTCCAGGAAAAGGGGCTTCTCGAAGTGACCGAGGACCCTGGGGGGAAACAGATGACGGGTCAGCCTGGGAAGCCATTTTCCTTTTGGAGCTTCGAGGCCGCCACATTTGCAAAACCAGGTGGAGCCCGAAACAAGAGGCTGAACCGTGACTTCGATTCCACCGTGTTGGGCAAACTCGCCGAGTCGACGAACCTACCGGACGTTTTTAAGCATGTAAAGGACTTCGGAAGGCAGGTGGGAGCTCTTGACGTCAAATTCGGTTAAATCAGCCTCCAGCAGGGAGGGAGGCGGGTCCTTGGGCTGCAGGATGGGAGATTCCTTCTTGAAGCGCAGAATCCTGCAAGGAAAACCAAAGAAACTCCCTTCGTTGCCTCTAGGAAGGATCCAGCTAGGTGTCACACAATCTCCTTTGGCAACCTTCCGACAAGCAAAGTCAACGGAGAAGCCAGATTCACTTAACAACAGTGGCAAGAAAAGCCGTCAAACAGGGACCAACTTCCCTTAACCCATGTCTTACTCAACAACATACATTTGGGACTCTGTGGTTGTAAGTTGAGGATCTGTTTATTGACTCGTATGATGATTTCCTAAGGCAAATCTCTGGTGCCAATTGCTTCTTCCCTGGGTTGAGTGCCCCTCGCCAAGGAAATAGGAATCAATGTTTACCTATAGGAAGGATTTGGGGCAAAGCGAATAGCCCTCACATTTCAGTCCCTTGAGTCATCACATAACCATGGTTAACTTCATTGTGGTTTAGTCTAGTATTATGATGGAATAGAGTCAAGGTTCCCAGCAGGGAGAGAGAAGTGGGGGTATTCTTTTCTGGAAAGCAAGCAACGATTGAGATATTTTGATCAAGAAGACCTCCAAGGTCCCTTCCAACTCTCTCTACCCTGTTTCCTTGAAAATAAGACCTAGCATGATTTTTCCAGGATGCTCATAATATAAGCCCTACCCTGAAAATAAGCCCCAGTTAAGACTGTCAGCCAGGCGGATGCATTTGGAACCGTATTTCCCTGAAAATAAGCCCTAACTGGAAAATAATGCGTCTTTTGGAGCAAAAATTAATATAAGACCCAGTCTTATTTTGGGGGGAAACATGGTAAAGTCTCTACTTTATGGAGGAAATGATGCTACAATTTATCCAAAATGCCAAAATTGTCCTGTGAGCCTTACCTCTTTGCCAAGGACAAAACCTTGGCCCTTTTTCGCATGCGCTGACGGGGCACTGGGTTGCCGACCAGAGTGTTTGGCAGAGTTGTCACCTGCAAGGAAGACAAAGCATTCAGGGGAAAATGTGCCAGGCCTGAAGTTTGCCCAGGGAGTGACAACCATGCAACAAGGAACAAGGAACCTCAACTGCCCTAACAAAAGATGCCGCACACAATCGCAGGGAATGAAACGGACATGAAAGCTGAAATTCCAAAGGCCGCTTGTTTTTGAGAAGCGCGGCCATCGCTTGCAAACCTCTTGCTGAGCTTTCAAATTGGTCTGCAAAGGGAGCAGATCCCTGAGCAACCATTCAAGTAATTTTCAACTTATGACCACTCACTTAATGACCAAGGTGTTCATTTAACCACTGCTGGAAAAAAATTGTTTGTAAAATCAGGTCACTCATGTGACGCATCTGATTTTACAGTCACAAATCCATCCAAGGACCACCTGTTAAACCTTCTTTCTTTCTTCTTTTCCTTCTTTTCCTTTCTCTTTCTTTCTTCTTTCTCTCTCTCCCTTCCTTCCTTCTTCCTTTCTCTGTCTCTCCCTTTCTTTCTTTTTTCTTTCTTTCTTTTTCTTTCTTTCTTCTTTCTCTCTCTCTTCCTTCTTCCTTTCTCTGTCTCTCTCTTTTTTCTTTTTCTTTCTTTTTTCTTTCTCTCTTCCTTCCTTCCTTCTTCCTTTCTCTGTCTCCCTCTCTGCGTCTCTTTCCCTTTCTTTTTTCTTTGCTTTCTTTCTATCTTTCTATCTTTCTTTCTTTCTCTTTTTCATTCTTTTTCTTTTTTATCTGCCAAGTTTTGCACCGATTTCCCAAGTTCCCTTTTAAGGGGGGATAGAAAAAGACAAAGAGGAAGAGGAAGAAAATAATTGAAGAAAGGAAGAGCTTCTATATTGGCTAAGACGTCGATGGATATCGGCTAACGAATTAAGGGTACAGCCACGCCACACGAATTCAATAATTGGATTACATTTCTTTATTGCAGCATATCATCCTTAGTCCACATGAACCAATTAAGGGAGAGGGAGTTAATTAATCAGTTAATTAAAGCGAGGGAGGTTTAGAAGCTTCTGAAGAAACCTTCCCTTGGGCTAGTTCCTTCCTTCCTTCCTTCCTTTCTCTCTCTCTTTCTTTCTCTCTGTCTCCCTTTTCTTCCTCTCTTTCTCATCTTTCTTTCCCTCTCTTGTCTTTCTTTCTTTCTTTCTTTCTTTCTTTCTTTCTTTCTTTCTTTCTTTCTTTCTTTTTTCTTTCTTCTTTCTTTCTTTCTTTCTTTCTTTCTTTCTTTCTTTCTTTCTTTCTTTCTTTCTTTCTTTCTTCTTTCTTTCTTTCTTTCTTTCTTTCTTTTTTCTTTTGCTTTGGAAAACAACTTGACCTCCTCCTCCTCCTCTGTGGCAGCCCTTCAAATATTGGAACACTGCTATCCTGTCTCCCCTGGACCTTCTCTTCTCTAGACTGGCCATGCCCAGTTCCGGCAACCGTTCCTCGCATGTTTTAACCTCCAGTCCCCTAATCCTCTTTGTTACTCTTCTCTGCCCTTTTTCTAGAGCCTCCACAGCTTTTCCCAAAAGAGCTGAAATCCTGAACGGGCCGAAAACCTGATTGTTGTCTTTTTTTTTTCCCTTTGGAAGGATTTTGAGAAAAACACCCTCTAGGCCCATCCGTTCTTTGCAAAGCTATTAATAGACCCGGCAGAGAGTAGAAAGGATGATTAGTCACCGAGAGCACGCCTACGCCCCCATTTCCTCACATGTTACCTCCAGGATAAACTAAATCCAGGAGAAAGGCTGAACTCCAGCCAAGGTAAGGGTTTGGCTACCATTAGTTGAACGAGTCATCCCGGCCCTTGTGCGCTCAATGCTGCACCAGTTCTGACAGGTCACAGGGCTTACTGACATGGCTCATCCCATCACCAAGCCCAGAAGACGAGGGTATAAAAGGACAGGAAACTCTATTCCCTTCCAGCACTGATGTCGTTACCTAGTTTGATAATGAGACGTCTGCAAGAAAACAATCCAGCTCAAAAGAACACCAGGGACCACATAGTCCTAATCCTCCTTCTCCTCCTCCTCCTCACACCCCACTCCCTTCTGGCACTGATGATGCCACCTAGTAAGGCAAGAAAACCACCGAGCTCAGAGAACAGTTTACATTTGCACCCCACAGATTAAGTCTGAGTTCTACATATTCTCTTGTCTCTGAAGCCCAGGAGAGTTTAGAGCAGGGGTGTCCAACCTTGGCAACTTTAAGACTTGTGGACTTCAACTC